CGGGGCGCGCAGGGCCCCGCGGGCCGAGTGCCGCCGCAGCTGCTCCCGCAGGTTGTTCTGCGGCACGGCCGCCATCGCGGGCCGCCCCGCCGCCAGGGGGCGCGCCGCCTCCCGCCCGCGCCGCCAGCGCTTCGCATTCGGCGCCAAAACCGCCCCCGGCCCCCCCATTGGCCGGAGGGGACAGGGCGGAAGTGACGGAAGGGGCGGGCGGCATGGCGGCGGAAATGGCGATGTTTCCGGAAATGGCGGCACCACCCTCAGGGCGGGCTCGATTCCTCCGCGGCCCCGCTCCGCCTTAGCCCCGCTCCCAGCCGGCCCCGCTCCGCCTTAGCCCCGCTCCGCACCCCCGAGCAGCGCTCGGCGCTTCGCACGGTGCTGCCCCGCGCCGCGAGGCCGGAGCCCCTCAGCCCGCCCGCTCAGAGGTCACGGCACAGCGCTCCGGTGACGAGGCAGCTTTATTGTCAGTGACAGATTTCATTGTGAAACAACACAGACGTGCCCCTGCTCACACGCGGCTTCATTTCCCCAGCGCCTGGTCGGAATCGGCACCGGGGTTCTGGCGTCTTCGCTGGTGGGGTAAAGAAAAATCACCCGTTTCTTCTCTGTGTGCAGTAAAATACCCTGGTTTTTAATACAAAATATAGCAAGCATTTCATCAAAATCGATAAAAGTGTACAAATCACAGCACTCGCTCATCCTTCCTTTAAAGAACGGCCTTCAAAGTAAATTTTAAAATCGCTAAAATTTACACGTGGTGATTGCAGAAAAGCCACCCGAGGGACGGGTGCAAGCTCCAAGTGGGCTCCTGCGGGGCTTCCCTTCAGGCGGGTGTCCCGGGATGGATGTGTGAGGCACAGCTGGGCACAGCTGGGCACAGCAGGAGAGGGAACCTGGCAGGGGCACTCCAGCAGCCAGGGTTTGGCTGGAGAGGGCAGGCTCAGCTGGGCTGCTGCAGGAGAACCTGGCTGGGTGTGCGAGCCAGGCTGCCCGCGGTGACACTGCCAGCGGGTGGCACTGCCCGCGGGTGGCACTGCCCACGGGTGACACTGCCAGAGGGTGACACTGCCAGAGGGTGGCACTGCCCGCGGGTGGCACTTCCAGCGGGTGGCACTGCCCGCGGGTGACACTGCCAGCGGGTGACACTGCCAGCGGGTGGCACTGCCAGCGGGTGGCACTGCCCGCGGGTGACACTGCCCGCGGGTGACACTGCCAGAGGGTGGCACTGCCAGAGGGTGGCACTGCCAGCGGTGACACTGCCAGCAGTGACACATCCAGCAGACAGGCGTGGCACTGGCTGTGCTCTCCCCCGGCAGCCTCAGCCCCTGCAGCAGCCTCCGTCTGTCCAGCCCTGCTACACCTGAGGAACGGGGTAGGAGGCACAGGCAGCCAGGCCACACATGTTCCTGCCTCGTTCGATAAGGAAATACCTGAAAGAGACAGAAATGGCTGTGAGGGAGCCTTCCCTCCTGTGGCAGGTGAGGCTGGGCAGCCCTGGGTGCCCAGAGCAGGTGGGGCTGCCCTGCATCCCTGGCAGTGCCCTGGCCAGGCTGGACAGGGCTGGGAGCAGCTGGGACAGTGGCAGTGTCCCTGCCATGGCAGGGTGGCACTGGGTGGTCCCTTCCCCCTCAGCTCTCCAGGCAATGCCATTCCCTGCCCCTTACACCCTGAATGAACCAGAACTTGTATCCCCCTCCCAAGAGTCCCACCTGCAGCTGGGAACACTGGAGCTGGGATCTCTCTGCTGTTCAAGCTCTTCCCCTGGCCGTGTGACCAGCAAGGAGGAGCCAGGGAACCAGCAGCTGTGACAGCCCTGGGCACCACAGGAACCAGCAGCTGTGACAGCCCTGGGCACCACAGGGGAAGCAGCAGCTGTGACAGCCCTGGGTACCACAGGCACCAGGGGAACCAGCAGCTGTGACAGACCTGGGCACCACGGGGGAACCAGCAGCTCTGGCCAGGCTGCTGAGCCCTGGGCACCACAGGAACCAGCAAAGCTGTGACAGCCCTGGGCACCACAGGAACCAGCAGCTGTGACAGCCCTGGGCACCAGGGGAACCAGCAGCTGTGACAGCCTGGCTGAGCCCTGGGCACCTTGGCAGCTGCGCTGAGCCAAGGCTCTGCTGGGGCAGGGACCCCAGGCCTGGCTCGGTGAGCCTGTCCCCACCCAGCCCAGCACCATTCCCCGTGTCCTCCCGGCTGCCAGGTTTCAGCTGGAGAGCTGGGGGTGGCCCGGGGCTGAGGGTGGGTGTCATCCCAGCACGTGGGGGCTGTCCCCAGCCCAGGCAGAGCGTGCTGGGCAGCAGAGCCCTTACCCCTGCATGCCCCACAGGCGGCCCCAGGAGTTCTTGACGATCCAGTAAGGAGTGCCATCCTCCTCTCCGTAGCCCACGGCCAGCACGGCGTGGTTCACCTTGTCAGGGGTGTGCTCGCAGCGGGGGCTGCAGGGGACACAACACAGGTGGGCTCTGAGAAGCAGCCATTAGCCAGGGATTGGTCAAGCCAGCAGTGCTGACCACACTCTGCAAACAGAACTGGGGACGCTCTGAACTGCCAGCTGTGGAGAGGAGGGAGGGAGGGAAGGCACAGAAAGGAGACACTGCTCTGTTTTTCCAGAGAAATTGCCTGAGATTTCTGAAATTTCCTGAAATTTTCCAGAGAAATTACCTGAAAATTCTGAAAATACAGAAATTTCTGAAATTACCAGCCATATCTGGAGTTAAGGGATCCATGGACTTTTGAGCTCCTAGCCCACCAAGACAAGCTACAGTGCAAGGGAGTTTTCCCAGTTGGAACCAGCAGCTCTTAGTGCCTCCCAGTTCTGGTTTGTACTGCCCTGAAATTCAAGGGCACTGCTTCATGTTTTGCACAGGAACAGCGAGCTCTTGGGTCTAAATATTCCTCTAAATGTTAAACCTTTAAACTGCACTTGCTGAAAGCTGCTGCCTGTGGTGTGAAAGAAGACAGCTCATGGTACATGCTCCCATCTCAAGTGCATCTATTTTTAAACATTTTCAAGCTGCATCACAGGAAAAGATCAATAATCCACCTCAGATTTTCTTTTTTTTTGATCTGTTAACAGCTGCTCTGTGCTGAAAGCACTGGAGCACCAATTATTCCATGCACTCTGACTTCAAATCCAGCCTAGACTGTAAATCCACAGGATTACTGCTCCTGGCGTGTTCCTCTGACCATGTCCCTGCCCTCCCAGCTCACACCTGCCCAGGGCTGGCACTGACCTCTGGCATCACTGGCTCTTGGCCCAGCAAAGCCTCTGGAATCACCACCTGCTCCTTCCTGGGAGCTCCTTGGGGCAGATCCCTCGGGCTCAGCCTCTCCCTTGCAATTTCCCTGCAGTTCTGCGTGACTGAGGGTTACTCCAAAGCATTTTTCTATTTCTCCAAACACACACTGTCCCCCAGCTGGGTACCAGCCCCTGTGCTGCCTCGCTCAGCTCTCATCTTCCCCATGCACTGATCAGCCTTCCACGTGGCTCTGTGCCCAGGGGGCTGGCACCACGCTCGAGACTTGCTTGGTGTCCCCAGCTGGCTTTTCTCTCTGCTGCTCCTCCGACCTGCCCAGGGAGCCCCACGTGGCAGCACTGAGGTGAGGTGCAGCAGAAGCTGCCCCGTGGAGAGCAGGCACACCAAAAAGCACCACCTGCCGAGGTGCCAGCTCGGGTGCAGGGCAGTGTGAGGGCAGCCACCCTTCTCACACCGCCCCTCTGAGCTCTGGCACTGCGGGAGCTGCCCTGATACCACGGAAAATCCACCTTGGCTGGGGCTTACCCTAACCAACCACACGTGTCCTACAGCTGGGCTGCCCCTGCCTCTGTCCCAGCCCAGCCCTGGGACATCCCCAGCCCCGTGGGGAGCTGCACAGTCTCCCAAGCTGTCTGACTTGCTGACCTTCATTCCACCACAACCTGGTCTCCAGGCTGGACAGGCTCCTAGCCTGCAGCCCTCCTCCCTGAGCTGCACTCTCATCCCCTCAGGAACCAGTAAATCAAGGCTGTGTTTATTCTTTTTTTTTTTCTATTTTCTACTTTAAAATAGTGTGAGAAAGCAGTGCAGTGTTCCTGCATCCAGCAGGAGAAACAGGGACGCACATGACTGCAGCCCTACATGTTCCCCTTGCCCTCCCCTCACCAAACGAGGGCCCCACACTCACTTGGAATACACTCCTTTCCTGTAGTGCATGAAGTCACTCGTCACCTCAAAGGCAAAGCTCACTGGGTTGTGCTTCCCCACAGCTTCCACCATGCTGTCCTCATCATACTGCAAGAGAGGATGCAGGGTCATCATCCTCACCATCTCCTGGCTGTGCTGGGCCCAGTGCAGGCCCAGCAGCCAGGCCACGGGGGATGGATAACCCTGGTGTCCTGCAGGACTAGGAGTCCAGTGCTGAGCTGTGGAGGAGAACTGGGACTGTCCCAGCCTGGAGGGGCACCCCTGTGGGAAGCAGGCAGGAACCCAGGGCCTGTGCTTTGGCTCCAGCACCTCCTTGGTGCCACCTTCTAAAAGGCGTGCAGGAGAGCAGAGTGTGCCCAGCAGCTCTCTGAATCCAGGAGCACACAGGCTGCAGCTGCAGGACAGCAGAGTGTGCCCAGCAGCTCTCTCTCCAGGAGCACACAGGCTGCAGCTGCTGAGCCCAGCACAGCTTGGGCACCCCAGCACCTCCCCTTGGCACAGCCCTGGCAGTTTGGAAACGCAGCCCTCGGGGCCTCACCTGCGTGATATTGATCACATCCTTGACAAAGGCAATGGCCTTCTCCGGCTGGAACTTGCAGGTGCCGTTCTGTGGGGACAGAGAGGAGCTGTGGGAGCTGTGCCAGCCCTGCTGTGCCCCCACGGGGGCCGGGGCTGTGCTGCAGTACCTTGGCCCGGTAGGGGTAGCTGTCCTCCCCCATGAGCCCCTTGTTGTACAGGATGTACTCGAAGGCTTGGCTGGGCAGGCCCCTGCGAGACAACACGGCTCGTTAGGATGCTAACAGTTAATTAGGATGGTAATGATGAATTGGGATGGTAATGCTGCAGCTTCTGCAGAGCAAAGCCATCAACAATCCCCCCTCTGCAGCCCACTCCCACCAGCCAGGGAGACAGGGAAGGGCAGTGTCTATCCCAGAGCCCCCAGAGGCACAAACTCCAGTCTGTGCCTGCAGCATCTCCCTGCCTGGGCTGTCTGGCATGGTCACACCTCATTCTCCAGCTGCCAGACCCCTGGAGAACACCAGGAGCCCTAAGGGTGTGAGGTCAGCTGGCCCACACAGCACCACCCCTTGCATGCTGAAAGGTGTCTTTTGGTGCCCTCTGCCCAGCCTGGCTGGGAGACATTGAGACACCCACATCTCCAGCAAGCAGCTGCTCCCTTCCCTGGCCACCTTCCAGAAGCACCTCTCAGGAGGGAAGAAAAGAGAGATGATCAGGGAGTGCTGATGTGGAAACACCTAAGGAGGAGTCACAAGAAAAATAAAAAGCACAATGAGTGGCTTTGCTCAACTCTGAGCGTCCCTCTAGGACCACTTCTCTCACAGAAAACAGAAGTTGTCAGAAAGCTCTATTCTGCCTTCTCTAGCAAAGCCAGGAGGAACCTCCCAAAGGGGAAGCTGAAGTTTCTGTGGGTTCTTCAGGTGCCACGAGACGCGCGTGACCCGGGGCAGAACAACACCCAGAAATCCCCTTGCTGTCCCAGAGCCCATCAGAGCCCAGCCTATGGCTGCCATGTGAGAAACAGATAAACAGTCTCAGATAAAAACTAACAAATGAGGAACAAGAGGTTGGGAAATGCTGGAGATTTACTGAAACATCCTAGCTTCTAGGAAGGGTGGAATTAAAATAAGCAACCAAATCCAAAGCTGCTTCCCCTGACACACTGCAGCCATGGTAAGACAAAAGCCATTCCATAATGTGGAAGGATCCTGACACACGATCTGGAGGAAGGCTGTCCATCACAGGGTGTAAGATTCTCTAATTTCTGCTCTTTCTGGCCCTCTCTGACTTACCCACTGCAGCCATGGTTGTTGAAGGCCTGGGCACAATCAACCAGCTGCTGCTCTGCCTGCAGAGAAGGGTTTTGAGTCAGTGACTGTCCCACAGCTGTGCTCAGAGCCAGTGACACAAAAAGCAACTGCACAGCAGGAACTGAGAGTTGGTTTGTCTGTGCAGCTGGCTGTAACGACCACCACAGCACTGCTACACCCCTGGGAGTCACCTGGAAACAGCTCCATGTCCCAGGGAGGCCAACAAGGAAGACCTGGAGCCAGCAGCCTGGGATGCCCTGGCTGCCAGGGGCATTCCTCCTCACGCCTGCCAGGAATCCATCCCCCCCCCAGAAGGACTGGCTGAAATGTCTTCCAAAGGTCAGGTTTGTTTTTCACACACCCAACCCTCAGTTATTCTGCTAAGTTGTGTAAGTGGTTACTGTCTTTCTAGTTCTTCAGGAATGTAAGTCCTCTGGGAGCTGAAAAACCAACATGTCCCAATGTGCTGCCTGCAGTGAGGCTGGCTGGCAGGGCCAGGCACAGCTTATTTCCCCACACCTGCTCCCAGCAGCCTCCAGCCCCTCTGGCTCCATGCTGCTCCAAGCCCAGAAAACCTCTTACCAGAGAGAGCAGCTTTCCCGTGGCAATGGCAATAGCAGACTCCAAACAGCCCGTGGTGGAAAAGGTCCAGCAGCTCCCACAGGCACCCTACACGAGGAACAGGAGCTCCAGGTGCTGCAGGCTCACCAGCCTCCCCAAAACACGGGCAGGGGGGCATGGCAGCAGTGCAGAGCCCCCACTCCCCACTGGGCTCGGCCTTCTGCTCAGCCCCTGCCAGGGCACACGGCAGGCACAGCACAGCCCAGGGCAGCTCCCCTGGCACAGGCACGGCGCCTGCCCGCAGCCATCAGCCCCTGCGGCTGTCACACGCTCCTCACCTGGTTCTTCACGGGTGTCACGAAATTCCCCTTCTTCCTCCAGTCGATAGAGTCGGGACGTGGCCCAGAGCTGCGCAGGAAGTTCCCCTTGGTGGCTGAGCAGTTCTGCAGACGGGGCAGGAGGGCTGTGGTCAGCCACCAGGCCAGTGGCCCACGACAGCCACCCTCCCAGCGTGAGAGCTGGTGACCAGCACACACTGGCCACTGCAGCCCCACCAGCCTGCACCCCTGGCTGCAGTGCCCCAGGGCTCAGGGAGCTGACAGCAGAACAGACAGCTGGGCTGGAGTCAGGGCCCAGGCACTGAAAGCCACGAGGGTGGGGAACAGAGTTCATCTGGCTCTTGCCCTGGTGGCACAGGATGTGACCTGACCAGATGGCAGGCAGCACAGCGAGGGGTGCTGGCCCTGCAGCGGGTGTGGGTCATGGAGAACCCGCTCACGGGGGTGCAGGTCACTGCAGAACCACTTCATAGGGGTGCAGGTCACTGCAGAACCTGCTCACGGGGGTGCAGGTCACTGCAGAACCCCCTCACGGGGGTGCAGGTCACTGCAGAACCCCCTCACGGTTACCTGGACCCCCTCCTTCCCCGCCCACCCGCACTCACCTGCGGCTCACTCCACAGGTACCGCTTTTTAAACTCCGCGAAGGTCAGATCCGAGAACTCGTTGAGGCCCACTAGAGCGGGGAGAAAGGGGACACTGCTCTCAGCGAGGCGCGCTGCCCAGCGCCGGCGGGGCCGCGCCGGGCGGGGCTGGGCTCCTACTCTGGAAGCTGTGCCTGCCGGCGTTGTGCCGCTCCACACGCCGTTTGTTGCCCACGAAGATGCGCAGCCGGCGCGGGTACTCCTCGGGGCCGTAGCGCCGCTCGTTCTGCGGGGACACGGCGGCTCAGGGCTCGCCGAGCGCGGCAGCCCGGCCCGGCCGCTGCCCCGCGCCTCACCTGCAGCATCCAGGCCTTGAACAGCTGCTCCTCTGCGGAGAGAACGGGCCCGTCAGCGCCGCCTCCCCCCGCGCCGGGGGGCCGGGCCCGGACCGAGCCGAGCCGGGCCAGGCCGTGCCGACTGGCCTCCTGCCCTCCCGGTGCCCCTGTACCTTCGGCCGAGGGCTCCCAGGCGGCGGCGGCGGCGGCCAGCAGCGCGGCCGCGGTCAGCAGCACGGGCCAGCCCATGGCCGGGCCGGGCCGGGCCGAACCGGGACGGACGGGGCGCAGCGGGGCCGAACCGGGCTGAGCCGAGCCGAGCGCG